CTACCCGGTTTTGAAGCAACAGGCCAATTGCGCATGCACAGGATGTGGCCTCAGCATGACCTCCACCAAGCAGCTGGGTGTCACAGGGCGATGGAGTGCATATCCGTGTGCAGCGCACGTGCCTGATTAGGATGCCCGGCCCTGTGCACAGCATACCGGTTGCGACGAGAGCCGGAACCCACCACTGAGCCAGAGGCTCTTTGCACTTTATGTTTTTGAAAAGGTTCTCCAGAAACGATTCAAATTTGCCCTGCCTGGAAACTCTGCAGGTGAAATATGGTCATCAAGAAATGGACTTTCAAGTAGTTCATTGAAGTGTTCATTGTTAGGAATATTGATGGAATATGTTGTGTTTTTTTCGTCTCCCTGTGTCAGGATTTGGTATCATTTGAGGATGTAGCTCTGTTTTTCTCTGTGGAGGAGTGGGCCCTGCTGGATTCTGAGCAAAAAGCCTTATACCAAGAGGTCATGCTGGAAATCAAGAGGAACATGGCCTCCTTAGGTAAAGGATTCTGTTAGGCTCTCCTGCTCGGGCACAGGGTTGGATTAGATGACCTACAAGGTCTCCTCCAACTCCATGAATCTGACATAATACGATTAACACACCAGTATTGAAAATAGCAAAATATATTGAAATTTAGTAGCTGGAACAGTGGAGTTGTACTATAGTTGATTGGTTGGAGAGAGCTGTCTGCTGCATGAGGCTATTTCTACTGTGATTGGTTAATGTGAGTGTAAAGTGGGGAGTGTGTCTCTGCGTGCCACCTGTGGCACGCATGCCATAGGTTCACCATCATGGGTCTATAATGATGGCACTTAAGAACCCAATAAGAGTCCATGGGTTTATCACAAGGATGTAACTACTAGAGAAGTGGCCTGTCTGATCTTCCAGGTCCTCTGAAGAAGGGATCTACCAACTGTAACCCCTCCTATTTTCTCCAATGGTTCCCTTTTTGATTTTCGGCTGGCCCCTCTCACGCCAGCCCTCCCAGGAGTCTCCATGCTGCCTGTTTTAGATGCCAGGTAATACAGGGTTCACACGGAGGTTCTGGGAGGCTGAAAAATGGGCCGTCTGAAATGGGCCATTTCTGGCCTCCTGGGGGCTGGGGGAGGCCATTCCCCCCCCCCAGGCTCCAGGAAAACCTCTGGAGCCTGGGGAGGGTGAAAAATAGGCCTACCGGAAGTCCTGAAACAGGCTGTTTCTGGCCTGGGGGGGGGGCTTTAGGGAGGGCTGCTTGGCCCAAAATAGGGCAGGGGGAGGGGGTTGTGCACGCAAACGTGGGAGGGGGTAGGTCTCATGCGGGAGGGAATTCTTAGCATTTATCCATACTGTTCACCAAATCTAGCCTTTCTGGGATGACTCAACATTGCAATAATACTCCTTTGACCACTAGAGGCAATAGGGATTGTTTCAGGACTCTGCACTCTGCACTTCCTTTGCATCCAGATGCTTAGCTTAAACTTAATGACATTGACTTAGATAAGGGGTGAAAATCAGCAGGTTCTGGAGATCCGGTAGCAGAAATTTTGAGTAGTTCCGAGAACCAGCAAGTACCACCTCTGGCTGGCTTCAGAGTGGGTTGGAAATAGAGATTTTGCAGTATCTTCCGCTTGCCACGCCCACCAAGCCATGCTCACAGAACCGGTAGTAAAAAAATTGAATTTCACCACTGACTTAGATCCAGCATATATAAGAAACCAGACTATTTGAACAACCAATCAAAAAAGAACCAATCAGCTGCTTAAAATTTAAATATAGCAAGAGATGTATAAGCCAAGGAGAATTGGACTTGACAATCCTGCTGCTGATGTTACCTAGTCTGGTAATTAAACCTTCAGAAACTAAATTGAAAACGACCTTCGAGAGAGAACCTAAATCTAAAACCCAAACTTCAGGATTACGGAGGACCTGAACGGGGTTGGGCGAAAAGAGCCCGAGGAGGGAGACCCGCTCGGTGCCTGCAGTGCCCCCGCCCCACCTCAAACCCGAAGGGAGACCTTCCGGGGAGGGAGGCGCATGTACGCGGATGCAGTTGCGCGGCTGTGCCGGGAAGGCGGAGGGGATTCTCCCCTGCGCGTCTCTCTTGAGGATCGGAGGGTTGATCTTCGAGGGCGGGTGCGAGGGGAGCTCCCCATCCCAAGGATCCGACTAACCCCGAGATTCATCTTTGCCTTTGACGGGACGCTTCCAAACGGCCGCGCTTTTTGGAGGAGCATCTTTGGAAAAAACCTCTGGAATACAAGGTGTGTGTATTTGTGTCTGTTTTACGTGCTCCCCCTTTTTCCCTCTTAGCATGGGGAAGCAGAAGCATCAATTGGGACAATAATAATCGATTCTGCTTACATACTGCGGCATTTGCAGGGACTCTGGGCAGTTTGCCAAGTGTTGAAAAGATTTAAAAACATTAGACCACCACAAAATAACGGGGTGGGGTGAAAGCGGAGATAAGAAAAGTGAATGGAAGCAGAAAGAAAAGAGGTTGTTTTTTTCAATCAAGGAAAATCTTTGGATTTATTTTCCCATCCCAGCAGGGAGAATAAATAAACTCCAAAGGGGCAGAAGGAGGAGTCCTGGCTGTAACTCATGGGTAATTCTTCAAAATTGGATTTTAAGTGCTTTTTCAAGGGTCCCTCATAAGATTGCACACTGCCCCTCTCCCCTTGCAGAGATTATTCTGCTGGACCTTGCTGATTTATTCGTGGTGGAATTATCTCTGGTGCTGTTTCAGGTCCAGAAAACTTTATAGACTTAAATGGCTGCTGGACTGCCCATAGAAAAGGGGGTTGATCCCTCTCTGGAGCTGCCATTTGGGGGAGTCGATCAGGAGGATCAATCTTGGAAGACATCAACAGGTAAAGGGTCCTTCTGATACCGTTTAATCCTCTGGATTTATTTTGTCTGAGTCTCTTTTTTTCCTGAATTCATGTTCAGGATTTTAGATACTGTGGTTTTTATTTTATTTTTTATATTGCCACTCAAGAAAGTCTTGTGACAGCGTGCATCTAAAAAGGATTTGCCCCTTTGTAAGGTATTCCAAAGGGTGAGCCCTATTGTGAAAAAAAGTTTTTGTCCTCTTTCCAAATTATCTGACAGGCAGGAGAGAGGTCAAAACACTCCTCTCATCTCCAAGGGATATGAGGTGGGATCTGCTTGAAGATACAATCTCCCATATCTCCACTGGATCTTTCTTGGTCTCTCATGACTGACAGAAGTATCACTTGACACAAAGTCCATACCTAGGCATCTGTCAACTCCCATGTTCACACAACCTTATTAGTCTCAGTAACCCAGACAGATAGGTTGCTCTCTGGCCATGAGGTACTCATGTCTGCCAATCCTCTGGTCAGTATAAACAGAACAGATATTTTGCATTTGAGGCTCCATATGTTTATAACAAATAATTATTCTGGTTTTTTTCTCACTCTTAGAGGACAGAGCAACACAGATGGTATTTTCTGAAACATTTATTTTGTGTGCTGGAGGAATAGAAGAACTTGGGCTTCCAAGGAAGGTAGGAAAATTTCTCCCTCTTTCTTTTGGCAGAGAAGAAATTTGGGGTGCTGCTCCTGTCGAATTGGCCAAAATCATGAAAGGTTGTAGCAGGTGTATTTCCAATAAGAAGCCTGTTGCTCTGCCTATTTTCTCCAGGGAAGTTGTTTATTAATTGTAGTTGAAATCAGGACGTTTTCTTTCAATAGGAATACGAGTAGAAATAGGAATAGAAATGAATAAGAATAGAATACTGTATTTGGCCAAGTGTGATTAGACACACAGGAAATTTGTCTCTGGTGCCGCAGCTCTCAATGTAGATGCAAAACAACAGAATAATAATAATAATAATAATAATAATGAGAGAGTAGTAATGAAGAAGGATAATAATATGGGTAAATATACTTAGACAGTACTGTAAGAATTAGTTGTTTCGCAGAGTGATGGCACAAGGGGAAGAAACTGTCGCTGTTTCTAGTTGTTTTGGCATGCAATGCCCTATAGCGGCATTCTGAAGAAAATAATATTTTCTGTTTAGATTATTCAGCTGTTCCTTAATAAGAAAGTTTGTACAATGTGCTGTTCTTGTTTCAGAATTCCATTTGTTTTGAAGATATAGCTGTGTTTTTCTCCATGGAAGAATGGGCCCTGCTGGATTTGGAGCAAAAAAAACTGCATAGAGAGGTCATGCTGGACAACTCAAGGAACCTGGCCTCTCTAAGTAAGGGATTCTGTTTTTCTGGAATACTGAAATTCAATTCTGAAATTTGCAGTGGAAGGTATTTTGTAGCCAGATATAAGCAGTTAATTTCTTTCTCAGAGGAAATGCTACCCTCTTCTTTTCCTAGAGTGGAAGAGAGTGTGTCTTTCTAATCCTATTTGGTTAACAGATGGTATAAAACCTTCGTGCTCTCTTTAGAAAGAGGAAAGGAGTCCTTCTCTAGTTTCCAAACCTGTCTTCCCACATTGTAGGTAAGAGCTCTCTTCTTCTTTTTATATCATCTGCCTGTAACAATGGCATTTGGAAACTCTATTAATCACACAGGAGCATCACACGGATGTGTCTGCTAGAGAACTGGTAATTTTGATGGGCTAGGTATTCAAGGCATGAGACATTCCAGGGAGATGGCTCCTCTTCCCACTTTCTTCTTTTTCTTGTTGTTAATTGCGAAGTTGTGTCCAACCCATGGACAATGATCCTCCAGGCCTTCCTGTCCTCTACCATCCTCTGGAGTCCATTTAAGCTCACACCAACTGCTTCGGTGACTCCATCCAGCCAATTCATTCTCTGTTGTCCCTTTCTTCTTTTGCCCTCAGTCTTTCCCAGCATTAGGCTCTTCTCCAGCGAGTCCTTCCTTCTCATTAGGTGGCCAAACTATTTGAATTTCATCTTCAGGATCTGGTCTTCTAAAGAGCAGTCAGGGTTGATCTCCTCTAGGACTGACTGGTTTGATGATCTTGCAGTTCAAGGGACTCGCAGGTCTTCTCCAGCACCATATTTCAAAGGTCTCAATTTTTTTGTGCTCAGCCTTTCCTATGGTCCAACCTTCACAGCTATACATTGCAAGTCATGAAAAACCATGACTATACACACTTTTGTTGACAGGGTGATGTCTCTGCTTTTTAGTATGCTGTAGGATTTGCCATAGCTTTCCTCCACAGGAGCAAGCATCTTAATTTCTTGGCTGCAATCCCCATCTGCGGTGATCTTGGTGCCTGGGAAAATAAAATCTGTCACTACCTTCATTTCTTCCCCATCTATTTGCCAGGAATTGAGAGGGCAGGGTGCCATGATCTTAGTTTTCTTAATGTTGAGTTTCAAGCCAACTTTTGCACTGTCCTTCTTCACCTGCATCAAGAGGCTCTAGTTCCTATTCACTTTTCTTTTCTTAAGTTCAGACTGAGAATCACTTTGTCCCCAAGGGACACCATCCTCATCATGAAAAGAAAGTTAGACATCAATTCTCAGGTTGAACACTTCTCCCTTCCCCTGAAAAATAAACCAACATGGTTTCTCTTATCAAGTCCATTAATGAACACAGGCTCTGTTCAAGAGTCCCTCTTGCTTCCTTGGAGCTGAATCTGAAGGAATAGCAGAGGTGATGGTGCCCCACCATGAGAATAATTTACCCCAAAGAATTTAGGTTTGCATTTTGTAGCCTGCAGAGCAAGAGGGAAGCCTATAGGAGATCTTACTTCAACACAACACAAGCGTAGCCTCATGTTTTCAAAAGATTCTGACAGAAGCAAGGAGAAGAATCACAAAAGAGCTAAAAGAAAGAAGAGGTGGTGGGAGTTTGGGTAATGTTCAAAGAAGGGATCCAACAATGGTGTTTGATCCCTTCCATATCACAGTTTGTGCCAACTTTCCTTTTTTTCTGTTCCAAGCAGGTGATGGATGGAAGATGGAAGGCCAAGAAGCAGCAATACCTTTTCCAAAAGAGATAAAGGAAGTTCTGGAGAGGATGTTTGGAAAGAAAGATTCTGAGGAAAATCAGTTAAAAGTGGGGCTGGAGAAATACTCTCATTTTCAGTATGCAGATTTCAGTGTGTTCATGGCTGAAGATGATCACCAAAAAAAGGGAGTGTGTCCGTGGTATGGAAAAATACTGAGAGATGAATCAGAATTATGTTATTGTTCCAGAAGTGATACTGTCCAAAAACAAAATACAAGCTCCACAAGAACCATTCCTGTTATCTTATCTCAGAGAATAAAAGTTGGAGAAAAACCATATAAATGCCTGGAGTGTGGGAAGAGCTTCAGAGTCTCAAGTCATCTTACTTCCCATAAAAGGCTCCATACAGGAGAAAAACCATATGAATGCAAGGAATGTGGAAAGAGATTCCAGTTTGCCACAAGCCTCACTTGCCACAATAGGATTCACACAGGTGAGAAACCATACGAATGCCAAGACTGTGGAAAACGTTTCACTCTCTCGGGTTCCCTCACTCAGCATAAATGGATCCACACTGGAGAGAAACCATATAAATGCCAGGAATGTGGAAAGAGCTTCACAAGTTCAGGGTCTCTCACTCGCCATAAAAAGATCCACACAGGAGAGAAACCATATCAGTGCAAGAACTGTGGAAAGCGCTTCAGACAAAAAATTCATTATATCGTACATAACAGAATCCATACTGGGGAGAAACCATATAAATGTCAGGAGTGTGGAAAGACTTTCAGTTCTGCAAGAAATCTTATTTCACATCATAGAATCCACACTGGGGAGAAACCATATAAATGCCAGGAGTGTGGAAAGAGCTTCAACAACTCTCAGGTCCTAACTGATCATAACAGGATCCACACAGGAGAGAAACCATATAAGTGTAAGGAGTGTGGAAAGAGCTTTCGTTCTTCAAAACCCCTTACTTATCATATAAGGATCCATACAGGGGAGAAACCATATAGATGCCAGGAGTGTGGAAAATGCTTCACTATGCCGGGTTCCCTCACTTCCCATAAAAGGATCCATAGCGGTGGGAAACCATATAAATGCCTGGAGTGTGGGAAGAGCTTCAGAGATTCAAGTTATCTGACTTCCCATAAAAGGATCCACACAGGAGAAAAACCATATGAATGCAAGGAATGTAAAAAAAGTTTCCGTTTTGCCAGGAGCTTTATTTCCCATAATAGGATTCACATAGGTAAGAAACCATATAAATGCCAGGACTGTGGAAACTGTTTCACAGCTTCAAGTTTTCTGACTTTCCATAAAAGGTTCCACACCGAGGATAAGCCATATAAATGCACAGAGTGTGGAAAAAGTTTAATAACCAGTAGTATGCTTTATCAACACAGATGGAGCCATGCAGGGGAAGTATGCAAATGCAGTGAATTTGGAAAATGCTTCTCTAATTCAACTTTCCTTTTTTCTGATAAAAGAATCCACACTGAGGCAAAACAACACAAATGCACGGAGTGTGAAAAGTGCTTCATTAATTTAAGTTCCCTGACTTCCCATAAAAGAATCCACACAGGGGAGAAACCATATAAGTGCATGGAATGCAAAAAGGGTTTCACAACCAGCAGTCACCTCAGTCGTCACAAGAGGATCCACACAGGGGAGAAACCATATAAATGCACTGAGTGTGGAAAAAGCTTCATACAAAGTAATGCACTTAAGAAACATAGAAAGATTCACTCTGAGAAAAAATTGGGTATAGTTGTGTAGACTGTGGAAAGAGTTTCTGTGTTACTAGAAATTTCATATGATCCTATTATAAAACTATGAACTGTGTATGGAAAATTGCGGAAAGTGTTTCCACAACAGAATTGTTCTTTCCCATAAAAGCATTGATACTGGAGAGAATCCATATAAATGCTTGGAATGTGAAAGAGCTTCACAACCAGTAGTGACCTCAGTTCCCACAAAAAGATCCACACTGGTAAGAAATCATAAACTGTGTGGAAAGGGTTTACTCAACATCAGTCACCTTATGGGAAAATTAGTTTATGAGAAACTTACAAAATACAAAAATAATAGCACCCCTAAATGAATTGTGTGACAAAAACACTACAGGTAGATCACAATTATTGAAATTATGATTGGCAACTATCACTAAATGACATTTTCACTAAAGGTGTCGTGTCTGCGCTGGACTGATGTCAATAATTTCACAATGGTGTTAACCAATGCAAATAACTGCAGGATAAGCATAACATCACATGACCATGACTTGAAATTGACACTGCTTGTCAGAGGCATCTGTGAAGCTGGCTGCATTTGACCACAATAATGATGTAATGGCCCTATGTTCAAGAACTGGTTGTAAATGTATTTTTTTCAGCATTTTTATTTGAACAGTTGTTGAACAGGGCAATTGGCAAGAGAGAAAAGGCACTCAGCATAACACTCCTGCTATCCCTGTTGTACAGACTGCTCAGTACAAGGTTTGTCTTCCTCACTCTTGGGATGAAGAAAACACCAGGTTGGTCCTAAGGCAACCTTGGCTTTGCTGTCACTATGTAACTGAATAAAGATCTATCTTTTTGTTTTCTTTCCTGCTTTCAAAAAAAATGTTTTATAAAATGTCAGTCTTAAAAGTTTCATTCTTTCTAAATACACTTTTAAATACAGGGCCAAGAAAGGAATACCAAGACTTAAGATGAAAGCTCCCCCCCCCAAATAATATTCTCTACTTAATTATAGAGCTATGTTTTCATCCTGATTTAAGTGAAGTCCAGCCCTGTAAATCTTAGGGATGCCATCCAGAGATTCTCAGATTGAGAAGAGTTTGAATCATTACTGACTGTTTTCATCAATTAGAAAAGTAGCTTGTAATGAACGATGACTGGTTGTAGTACCTCAGGAGTTCTCTAATGTTGAGTTTCAGTTTACCTTTGCAGTCGCAATAAATATAAATCTTTTAGTTATAACCTGCAGACAGCAAGGGATTTAATAAGGCATCCAAAGGAATACATTTCATGAAAGGTGGTGGCTGTTTCAAAGCCGAAGAGCCAGTGCTGTCTGAAGACATTGCCGTGGTCATGTGGCCGGCATGACTAAATGCCAAAGGCATACGGAACCCTTGCCTTCCCACCAAAAGTGGTTCCTATTTTTCTACTTGGCATTTTTACATGCTTTTGAACTGCTAGGTTGGCAGAAGCTGGGACAAGTAATGGGAGCTCACTCCATTACGTAGTGCTAGGGATTAGAACCCCTGAACTGCTATCCTTCTGATCGACAAGCTCAGTGTCTTAGCCACTGAGCCACACGTCCTTCAACCATGTCACTCAACGTGGTACTTGAATGAGTATCACGTTGCAATGTCAAATAGGACCCTGACCCCTTTGCTGAGGAAACCACCAGGTAAGGATGTCTGTGGCACTTGGTTTAAGCACAAAATTTGAAATGCAAAAGGCAGCTGGCTTTGCTTCCTCTGATGTATAGAGGAAGTCATTGACTTGTGACCATAATTGGAACTGGATCTGTTGCTGAGCCAAGGTGGTTGCTAAGATCTCAATTTTATGAACTTTTGGGATAAAGTCAAGTCAATCACAAAATCTTTAAGCCAATTCAGTTTTTCCATTGAGTTCTTTTGTTAGAAACCAGCTGGGATGGTCACAAAGCATGTTATGATACATGATGCTGGAAACCTGCAACAGTTATGAAGTTTTACAGTATACACAATCGCTGGTTTGTTTTTTTTCATTAGCACTGCCCTCTCTTAGCCAGGCTTTACATTCATATTCTTGTAGTTATTCATTTTTAAATGATTGCATATACCATGTTACTCCCCCACCTCCGCCTCCCCTTTGGCAACATCTTTGTTAATAAGCGTGCAGGTTGTAATACTGAAAATATATATTGGAACTTGAGAGCATTCGCACAAACTACAGTGAAACACTAATAGCGGTCCCAGTGAGTGAGGCTCTATGGCTGCATAATAGTCTTAGAAAGAGAGAGGGGGGAGGCGGCAGGCGCTTCTTCCGGTGCCAAAGTCAAATATCCGGCCCAGAAATCTGCCCCCTCTACTGGGTGGAACAATGACTCCAGTCCCAATATGACTGACATACAGCCGACCAATGAGGTTCATAATTTTGGAGGCGCGTCTTCGCCACTCAGGTCCCTTCAGTGTACATCGGTTTCAATATCTATACAAGATAATAGAATGTACAGTACAGAAAAACATACATTCCTTTAAATTTCAAAATAATAAAAACATTACAAATCCAGACAGAGATCGGGGGGAAAATCCAAATTCGCGCTTTAAAAAATCCTTTACTGGCTGCCTCCCAACATCTTGGAGGACCTGGACAGGGAATGGGGGGAAGAATTGCCCGAGGAGGCCTCTCTAGGGAGAAGCACTCTCTGGTTGCAATTTCCAAAGGCTTCCCAGATGCGAGAAAGCCCCCTCCTTCCCCTCCCTTCCTTTCCGTCATTTCTGGTTGCAATCGGGGGGTGCTTCTTATTGGGTGACTACTAAGATTGTTCCTGCAAGGCAGTCGCCTTTCTCCTTGTAGGGTTCTTTCTGCTGACCCTTCCTGATCGTTTCCTATGAGATTTTCCTCTGGTGCAGTTTTGGGGTCCAGGAGCCCTTGAGTTTCAATGGCAGGAAAGGCGGGCGATCCCTCCCTGGAGTTGCTGTTTAAGGGAATCCCTCTCGAGGATCCCTCCCAGAAGAGATCACCAGGTAACCCTTCCTTCCTTTTGATGCCCTTTATTCTTCAAATGGACTATGCCTGCATTTCCTTCCTTCGTGATTTTTTTTAATTTTTAATTTTTTGTACTGTGTTATTACAGATACAAAACCGTTATTACAGGTACAGGAACATGGTGGCTCAGTGGCTAAGGTGCTGAGCTTGTTGATCAGAAAGGTCGGCAGTTTGGCGGTTCGAATCCTTAGCGCCACGTAACAGAGTGAGCTCCCGTTACTTGTCACAGCTTCTACCAACCTAGCAGTTTGAAAGCATGTAAAAATACAAGTAGAAAAATAGAAACCACCTTTGATGGGACGGTAACAGTGTTTTGTGCGCCTTCAGCATTTAGTCATGCTGGCCAAATGACCATGGAGATCTCTTGGGACAGCGCTGGCTCTTCGGCTTTGAAAAGGTGATGAACACCACCCCTAGAGTCGGGAACGACTAGCACATATGTGCAAGGTAGTCCTTTGGGAGAAGGGTGGCATATAAATCCAATAAACAAACAAACAAACAGGTAGACCTGGGTTTCCACCCAAAATTGAGCCCTAAATTTCTGTTGCTAAGCGAGAAATTTGTTAAGTGAGTCTTGGCAGCTTTTATGACCTTTTTCACATTTGTTCAGTGTATCACTGCAGGTGCTAAGTTAGTAACCTAGTTGTTTAGTGAATTTAACAATCATGGAGTTTGCTTGGCAGCAGGTCACAAAAAGGGATCACATGACCTTGGGATACTGCAGCTATCATAAATGAGTCAGTTGTTGAATATCCGAATGTTAATCACGTGACCATAGGGGATGCTGCAGTGGTCATAAGGGTGATGAAAATGGTCATAAGTCACTTTTTTCCAGTGCTGTTGTAACTTCAAACAGTCACTAAGTGAACTGTTTAAGGTTAAAGTTACAGGGATTTCAGGATTTAACAACAGAATTGGGTAGTGCATTCCAGGCGTTGACCATTCTGTTGTTGAAGTCGTATTTTGTGCAATCGAGTTTGGAGCAGTTTACTTATCTATTGTTTGCCCATGGATTATTACAGTTGAAGCTGAAGTAGTCATTGATAGATAGGACGTTGAAGATATCTAGGATCTCTGCGGTGCTTTACGGCACAAATTCCCCACTTCAGGTTGCATCTTGACCCCTCCTGGGAATCAGAGGAGAACCAGAAGGTTGACTGGTTACTGTACATCATTAATCCCAGCAACCCAGATGGGCTGTTCTCTGCTCAAAGGCACTTCTGCCTGCTGGCCCCCTCAGTCAGCATACACAAAGAATGTTTTTTCTGAATTTAATGCTCGAGAATCTAGGAAGGCTGTTTTTATCACAAACAGTTCTTTTTTCTTTCTTTCTCATTCTCAGAGACCAGAGCATCATCGATGGTATCTTGCAGAACATCTATTGTCTGTGGTGGAGGGATAGCAGCAGTTATGCTTTCAAAGAAGGTAAGAAGATATTTTCCTCAAACTGCAAATGTCATTCAACATGATCCAGCACTGTCCACTCTGTGTGTGTGTGTGTCTGTGTGTGTGCGCGCGCGTGCGTCTGTATGTGCACAGAGGAGTCTGTTTTCACAAGCAGCTTCCTTATACTTCGATAAGAAGTGACAAAGCACTGTATTTGTGAAGGTAATTCTTTCAAGAGGAACTATCTTACAATACAAAGCCACTCTTTTCTTCTTTGGATAGTGAGCAGAATGTACTTGGTAATATAATTTTGGTCTCAACTCTGCAATGTGTGACCCTGTAATATTATTGTTTCAAAGTAGTTTCAAAGAACATAGGTTAAATATAGGAATGGAATTTTTATTGGCCAAGTGTGTTTGAACACACAAGGAATTTGTCTTTGGTGCATATGCTGTCAGTGTACATAAGGAAAATAAAATACATTCATCAAGAATAAAAAGATACAACACTTAAGTGATAGTCAAGGTTACTAATAAGCTATCAAATCATACTTGTAAACAAATAAAACAATATAAATTGAAAGATACAAACAACATGGTTATAGTCATAAGTGGGAAGAGATAGATGTTAGGAAGAAAGAGAAGAATAATGATAATACAGTCTTAGTATATTATTTGACAGTATTGTGGGAATTAGTTAAGCAAAGTGATGGCATTCAGGAAAAATCTGTCGTCTCTACTTGTTCTGGTGTGCAGAGTGTCCTATAGCATTGTTTTGAGGGCAGAAGTTGAAACAATTTATGTCCAAGATGTGAGGATATAGATATCTTACAGGATGTAGATATTTTCACAGCCCTCCTATTAAATATTGTAGAAATACATTTCATGGAGATGTAGAAGTGAAAACTAGGAATAAATTAGGATGATAGTTTGATTGAGGCTACTGTGGTTTACTGACATATGCCAAGGTGTTCTTAAAAGGATCCACAAGGAATATTTCCAGTTTATATTTTATAGTATACAGTCAACTATTCCTTTTCTAGTCGTCTGCCAACTGTATTTCCTTGAATTCTGCTTTGATTTCTGATAATGTGACAAGATTCATATTTATTCTTAAACAGTTCTGCAATAGCATATTTCCTTTTATTCTTCTCAGTCCCCACTATAAATAACAAGGAGTTTTGATCATATTTCATCTGTATCCGTGGACCTTGTGGCAATGATGTACAACAAATTATACTGCTACACATTACATAGACTGTGGTTATATTACAGAGTGCCTTCCATGCAGGACCAATCTTGGAACAAGATAGCTTCTTTCTACAAAATGTTTCTTCCTGAAAGACATTCTTCCCACATGGAAGGTGCGAAGAACAAGGTTACATATAGCTTCACACGTTTGCTTATGATTCAAAAAGAGTCTTGTTGTCATATAAAGTTCAAGGTGAACTAGTTTGGAATAAACACAGATGTTTACTCAAAACCTCTTTTGGCATATTCTCTCAGCTATAGCATCTTGATATATGTCAATCAACTCCAGTGGCCTCACAATGGTTATTCGGTTCGTTATAATTTCCACCCATGTTATCTGCAAATAGATAGCATCTCAGCATCTCATGGTACTTCCCAGGGTACCTCTCCCAAAGTATCTTCATATACCTCTTCCAGAGGTGGTATTCTGCTGGTTTTCACCAGTTCAGGCAAACCAGTAGTGGCGGCGGTGCAAGGCTCCGCCCACCCACCCAGACATCATCACAGACTGTGCATGCCCAGACATGCGCTCCCATTACCAAACTGATAGTGAAGAAAATGGGGTACCATTCCTGACCTCTTCAGTAAGTATTGTGTTGGGGAACAAGGTAAGGCAGTGTCTGAAATGTCAGCCAGGACTCTTATCAATTGACAGAGAAGGAATTTGGAGTGCTGCTCCTGTAGAATTAGCCAAAATCACAAAATTCTATCACAGGTGAATTTCCAATCTGAGGCCTGTAGCTCTGCCCATTTTCTCCAAAGAACTTGTTTATTTATCTTACTTGAAAGAAGGAAGTTTTCTTTAAAAAGAAATGTTGCATTGTTCCTTAATAAGAGAGTTTGTACAACATGCTGTTTTCGTTTCAGAATTCCATTTCTTTTGAAGATGTAGCTGTGTTTTTCTCCGTGGAGGAATGGGCCCTGTTGGACTTGAAGCAAAAAACCCTGTATCGAGAAGTCATGTTGGAAAATGCAAGGAACGTTGCCTCTCTAAGTAAGGGATTCTGTTTTTCTGCACTAAAATTACGATGGAAGGTATTTTCTAGCCAAACATAAACAGCTGATTTCCTTCTTTTATATAGTGGAGAAGAGTGTCCTTGTCTGCTTTACTAATCCTATTTGGTTAACAGATGGGCTAAAAACCTTCATGGTCTCTTCAGAAAGATGACCCTTCCATGTAGTTTCCAATGCTGTCTGATCCACTTTGTGGATAAATTTAAGCTCTCTCTTCCTTTTTATGTTTTCTGTTTGATAGCATTTGAAAACCCGGTTAACACAGGGAGCATCACAAGGATGTGACTGCTAGAGAAGACTGTCTGATGGGACTCAAGACATGGGACATTCCACCCAGCTGGCTCACCCTCCCATTTTCTTCAATGCTTCTTTTTCCTGAGTTAACTTAAGATGAATGAACATACCCACAGACTGGAAATCATTCCCCCCCCCCCCAAAAAAAAAAAAAATCAAAGGAGATCTTACTCATGAAAAGAAGACTAAAGCTCAGGTTCAGGTCTCTCAGCACTTCTTCTTTCTCAGATTAAAATTAAACCAAAATGTTCCTCCA